ATTAGTGTTGATTAGAAGTTAGACAGAGTGACTAATTAGGGCTCGACAGGTGTTCACTGATAACCAAGATGCAGCGATTTACATGTAACCCTATTTCTAGACCTACCCTGCAGACTTCACCACTGTACGACCTTGTATGCCATACCCTGGGTATGGCGAAGTACAGTTTTCACTGTAACTAACTCAAACCATCAAATCTGGATGTGCGATTTCAGACACAAACCGAGTACTAAATTGCGGTTTACCAGGGACTGACAAAATTGAATTTTGATGGACGAAATTGAAGTTATGACTGACCCTAGTCTAGCCAAGCTTCAACTATATCATCGCAGAATTCAAATTTGCATTATCACTGAGAAATGGACCCTGAATTCACAAATTCACTACACAGTATAAATCGCAATATTGTAAAACAGTCACATATGAGATTTGAGTTAGAAAGGAGGTCAAACAGGGTTAGTAGAAGTCAAAGAAGATAGGTAGGCGAAGTTGGATATGGCTGTCCCACAGTCTGAATTTCGATTTTCAACTGTAAACTGACAGACAGACAAAATTCCAGTAATCTAAAAATAGACCCAGAATCGCCACACAGGGTAGAGTAAGGAACACACTTACTTCAGGGTCAACTCTGAAGAAGATGCATGAAACTATGGCTATGGCTGACTGGTCAACCCCATTTCGCCCGTTTCATCTCCTGACAATACCCAATGTTCCCATGTATCAAATTGCCTGAAACTTCGTGATCCAGTAGATTACCTTGAGGCGCTTCACCCCCAACTGACAGGTTTAATGAATTTGGACTCCCAGGTGCCAATAACTGACAAACTCAGTGCAGCGCCACATCACCCTGTACTGCGCTGCTTGGAAATTGGGGATCCTGACCCAATCCCAAAATCGCAACCTCCTAGGATCACTTCCTTGCCAATCACCAGCCTCCAGATGAATCGCCAGGCTAAAAATAGCCTCTCAGACCTCTGAGCACCAATCGCCAACCACTCCTGCACAACCCTAGTCAGGAATGAGTCACCCTCTGTCCAATACTTCTCACCACACACTCACTACCACCACCCTTACTGACAACAACCCTGAAGATGATGAATCTCCATGAGACTCAACTCCTGTATCTCGCCAGATGATGATGGTTGCTCCAACTCATCAATCGCTCCAGAGTCTGGATCCAATCGCTCTGATACCTGTTATGATTCTGGTTGTTTGTTGTCTGAAGACCAACACTCACTCACATAGACTTCCAGGTACGCCCATACATACACAGAAGGAAAGGGAGAGGATAGGAGTATCACACCGCACAGGGAGAGATAAACAGAGTGGAAGACTTGACCATGCGATACGACCGGGTACACTGAAAGTGCAATTCACTCCACTTAATCCTCACAACCAGTCACAGCGAGAAGCCGAGCAGATCACATCCAAGAAAACAATGAAAGGATGATAGTCCAAACCCAGTATCACACTGTTTATTAAACTCAGAGTCTCGAATTGTCAGGATAACCTCAATACTATAGTGCGCTGCTCAGAAATGAGCAGCGCTTCACTCCCCAACCCTGAATAACCACTCGTGACACCCATGAGCCCCTAAAACATCAAGCGCCACCCAATTACAGCCTCCAAAGGGAAGCGCCACCCTGAAACAGGCCTCTGAGGCCAAGCGCCACCCAGAGGATGAAGAAGAAGACCAGCGCCACTATATCTGATGATGACGAAGTGGTCGGAAGACTTCCCGGATGGAAGTCTGTAGCAGCGCCACCAACTCCTGACAAGATGACCGTTGAGAAGAAGCTGCAACTATGGCTGCAGCGCCACAACCTTGGAACCCCACTTTGGAGGAGGGTCCAGGTCAGGGCACCACCTTCTCTCGGCTCCAGCAGACCTCGATAGCCCAGACCTCTGACAGCCCCTACGCTGGCAGAGTATAGCGCAGGTCCCAGCTATGGCCGACGCTCCGAAGGTCTAGCTATGCCTATCTCCTTCCACGCCGAGCCGTCACCACTTACGGTTCACGAGTAGCACAACAGCGATGTACTCGGTACCAACTGCCAAAAACCCTAAACCGATGTGCCCATCCTATCTATCGACTAAAACTAACCTAGACTCGACCTAGACCGGACTAACTGACTGACCGGTACCGATTCAGTTTCGGCCTCTCGGTACTCTATAGGACCGTCTATCAGCATAGGACTGTAGGGCCTATCTGTCCGAGGGGTAGCCCGGGCCTGCTATTCGCAGTTAGGGTAGCAGTAGGAAATTCAGTTAGTGATGGGCCTGTATTTTCCCAAATTTGCAGGTGTGTCCCTCACGAATTTCCACTACAGGTAGGTCTCTCGGCTAGCCCTCAGCCAAACAAAATTACGAATCTACCCTACCTATGGTACAGCCTCGACAGAGAGAGGCTACAGGCGACCAGAAAACAGCAAGTCATTGCACTACAACACCTCACTCTACTCTACTCTACTCTACTCTACTCTACTCTACTCTACTCTACTCTACTCTATTCTACTCTACTCTATGCCACTCTACGACACTCTACTCGACGACACTCTATGACACTCCACTCTACTCGACAAGACTCTACGAGACTCTCCACAACTGTACTCTACAACACTCTGCTCTGCTCTGCTCTGCTCTGCTCTGCTCTACTCTACTCTACTCTACTCTACTTTACTCTAGTCTACTCTATGACACTCTATGACACTCTACGACACTGTACGATACTCTCCTGAAGCTAGCTATTCGACCGTAGCCCGCACCGCGGACGCTAAGCTATTCGACAATTAAACTCCGACTTCGTAGCCAGTTTTAGGTTATTCTTTATTACCCTGTGATTCTTTTTTTTTTTTTTTTACGAGTGGTCCGTGTCAGGTTGCCTACAACATTTCTTATTTCTGCGGGCATGGCCCGCACCGCCCGCACCACAGGCACTTAGCTAGTTATTATTATTGTTGAAGAAGAGAGGGGGAGATAAGGAGGAGATTGGTTGACAGAGAGAAGGGGGATTTGTCATTGGTCTTTTGCTGGTGTACATCTTCTTCTTCTTCCTTTGTCTCTCTCTTCTCTCAAGTTCATTCATTTCTTTTTGCAATTGGACAGTTCTTGGAATTCTTTATGAAGATGGAGCTGGGAGTTTAGAGGGAGTCCGGATGCTGGGGGGGTGGTAATGAATATGATTGGCGTCGGGCGGATTGTTGATGGGTGTGGTTCATGGGGGTTATCGTTACCCAGCTTACCTCTCCGTTTTGGGGTTGCACAGTAAGGGATGAGTGCCTGTAGGCTAAGTGGGATAAATAGATGGCAGGTTATCACGTGTTCTGCTGGTGAAGGGGCTGGCTGGTAGGATGGGAATAGGGCATAGCGGCAGTGGAGATGGTGACTCCGCTGTGGTGCGTCTTGTCGGAGTGGGGTAGGGAATTGATGGGGGATCCTGGGCGTTGGCCTTGACCAGTGTTGTAATCTGAATTGTGACTGCGGCAGTGCTTGGTGGCTTGTCTGAGGCTGTGCTGATGCTGTCGTACTCACTGGCTTGCAAATGGCTTGGGCTAGAACGACGCCGGGCGGTGCTGGGTTTTGGTCGTGCTTCCCTGTGATGCGAGGGTGGGGGCATGATGCCCGGTAGAGAGATCTGGGGAATGGCCAGGGGGGGAATGTGTTCCAGTGGCTATCTGTGGGCTGTTGACAAGACGATGCTGGCCGGAGCCGAGGTGGGCCTTCCCCCCTGTAAGCTAGCGGATGGGGATGCATTTTGAGGCGGGTCGTGCTACCCCGTACCCTAGCAGTTGGGGGTGTGAGGCCTGGAAGAGGCTTGGTAACGAACAGGAGAGTTGAGGGTGAGGCTGGGCTGCTGAGCTGTACTTGGTAGTTAAGTTCTGGTCTTGCAGTTTTTCATAGAACGAGTTTGCTTATCTCAATCCTCACCGCCCCTCTGAGACTCGGTATGGTGTAGTTTCATGATCAGTCCTTTAATAGGTCAGCAGTACTCAGGCCTTCCTCTAAATTTTCTTGAATTTTCCAATTGTTCGTAGCCGAAACCGGGTAATGGCCCCAGTATTCCAATGATCTGTGTAACCTCACATGGGACGCTGGGCCCGGTTCCCAGCACGCGCAGCTCTCCTGTATCCTTCTTTTAACCACCAGTTCACACAAACCTAAGTTGACAAAGCTACCTTCCAAGGCTCGCGAGCCTGAAACTGCGGCTTTTCAAAGTGGCCTGCCACTTTCGCTACCGGCCCAGGCCGCAATTGAAAAGCTCAGGGCATGAGACCTCCCTTGGCTTCATCTGGCCTACATACAAAGTGCCAATTTGGCACCACCATTGCTGCCAGAACAAGCGGTTCACCCGTTGAGCATGCCTCATCGGCGTGCTAGGCAGACGTCCGTGGATTGCGCAGACAGTCAGCATAGCAGGCATGATACTAGGAGATCAAGGAACACAGTCTTCAAGACTGAAATGTAGTCAAGATGGTAATGTGGGAGTCTTCCAAGCAACAAATTGACGGGAAGGTTTGCAGGTACTGACATGACATTCTTCCTTAAGGAAGGGTGGTCGCTGAGCCATGGACATGCATGCCGTGCGTGTTGTATTGCTTTCTGCCACGTGGTCTGCGGAAGCTTCAGGGTGGTTCTTGTGCACTGCACACTTTTAGCCTATAACTCATGGTGTTTGTCCATGTTGCTTGGTTATAGCACGCAACTTGATGCAAGTGGTTGATTGCCAGCCATTCCAGTTGTTCTGGAGTCCAAAGACTCCAAACAAAGCGATAACGGATTGGACAAGGACAGATGGAGAGAGAAGACAAGGGCTGCCAGTCATTCTTCCCTTAATTTTCACTAGGCTGATAGGTACATACATTTATGTGTTGCTAAAAAGATGGGGTAAATGGAGAAAATAAATCGAGGGAGGATTCAATCTGGGACTGAAGAGGATGGAACTAGGAACAGAATTACATACACTATGAAGGTTGATAGAACGTAGAGGCAAGCAAGCATACCTTCGCCCTCGTCATAAAACCTCTTTGGGCTCTGCAGAAACCATAGCATGGCTTTAACGAGCCATCAAAACCATTGTCACAAGACCACATCATGCAGCCTTCAACAGGTGTGCAAGTTACTCCGGTTGTGTTGCATGCGTCATTGGCAGTCAGGCATGGTTGTCCACGGTCCCCAGTGTAGAACTCACTGACTGAGCAGCTGCAAGGAAAAACACAGAGAAGAGGTTCCCAGGAGTTATGCACGAACATGATGTCCATTAAGCCCTAGTATCTCCAAGCCTAAGCTCCTACCTAAACCGCTCTGCGGGCTAGGCTGATGCCAGAAATTTAAAAAGTGTTACGATCCTGGCCAATTTTGAAGTCCACAATAATCAGAAAGTACAATGTTGTCCAATTGCGAAAAGAAATGAATGAACTTGAGCCCAATGCCGTCCAATTGCAAAAGAAATGAAAGAACTTGAGAGGAGAGAGAGGGAAAGAAGAAGAAGAAGAATCAGGAAAGAAGAAAGAGATGGTGTACTCCAACATAGACCAAAGACAAAGCTCTTCTTCTTCGCTCAACAACCTCCTCTTTATCTCCTCCTCTCTTATTCAAACAATAAATAAACAATAATAATGTTGAACAGCTGAACCAGAATCAATGTCCGAATCCCACTTCTACTGCAGGCACAAGATGAGGTCCACCATAACCATGGCAGCCCGTCTTCTTCCTCCACATACAGGCCGAGGCTATGGCGGACTACTACCTCCGGTACAAAGGACAACCCCAAGCAGCTACACCGCTGCCCTTCTTCAGGTCATCACCCAACAGCTATGCCGCTGCCCACTCAACCGCCATGCCTGACTCTGTCCGAGCTTCCTTGATGCGGCACTACCCCCACTGGGGCCTTCCTGATGCAGCGCCTAGCAAGGAGATGAAGATGGTGTCTACCATAGCCAGGTAAGTACCCTACCACTCTCCTCCTTGGTCCCCTTCTCCTCTTCCTCCTACCGGCTGAGCTCCACCATAGCCAAGGTGGAAGCTCCCGRCTTCTTCCTCCCAGCAGCGCTGTAGAGCCCAGCGCTCCTCCACCTAGCGCTCCAGCAGCGTGACGCCCAACTCGCACACTGAAGAATGAGGCCGGGCTCTTTGCCCTGACTCTTGATATAGCGGCCTACTTGCCTCCTGGGCGGTGACTTCCAAATCTCGGCCTCTCCAAGCAACCGGTACCTCCTCCGTTTCGGAGGGAATCATCATTGCAGACCCTGATATTACCCGTACAGGCTCTAGACT